AAAAAAATAATATATGAAAAGCTATTTTAAATGTTATGCGCAATTCAGAGTGAATTTTAATGAAAGTTAAGAAACTCTTTACAGAGCAGCAAGGTCTCATCCTTTAATCTGAGAATTTTTTCTTTAAATGTAAAAATCTGTTCATGAATTCATTTGCTTTTGTATTAGCATGCGCATCCTTGTGTTTAAGAGCTTTCAGCAATAAGCAAGTAGAAATGACCTAAATGCCACACCATAAAAGAAATAAAAGCAATCTAAATGATCCAGGGTCACCAAAGCATTTGCAATTGTTCTGTTACAAATGATACACTACTGACAGAAAATTTAGGAAAAGCACATGAGAATATTGAAGGTGCACGCATTCATCCTGTCGCACACGCATGTAAAGTGTCCAAAGTAGCATTCAGATACTGTAGATTTTCACTAGAACAGATGTATGTACTTAATGTTTCACAAGTGGCATGTTTCTAAAAGTAGCTGCTGTTATTTGAGGCACAGAGTGACCTTTAAATATCTAAAGACATCAAATTTGAGTTAGATGTCCGTATTCGTTATCTTTGATTGGTGGATAGAAAAACATTTTAAAAGGAATGTTATGATTGCATCATAGAAAAGCTCACTTTAAAGTATGCTCTAAAAGAAGATTTAAAAGGAAAGCAATATTTTGTTTTTGCCCAGAGGGAATTTGAGTGTTTTTTTTCCTCCTCATGTTTGTTTTTTTAAACTAACCTCATTCTTAGATGTCTTCAATGCATATCATTTTGTTGCCACCAGTGGAGCTTTTATCACATGGCATGTGGTCCTGATTGTGTACGAGTTAGCGTATGATTGCAACACTTGGCTTTATGTACCATTAGGTAGTTTATTCTTGATATAAATGCTATGGGGGGTAAAACAGAAGAACAAAAAGATATGGACAGAGAAAAAAGCAATCGTCAGGACTGTTTCTAATTGCATTTGGTGTGGGTCTTAGCGATAACATCAGTTCCATTATTTTCTGCATTTGAATTGCACTGCAGCCCGTCTTCAGCATCCTGTCGTTGATTGGCTGACTGCAGGTACTGGGTGTTCAGAGCAATGTGGGACACAGGCAAGAATACGTTGTGCTGTTTTATGAGTGTAAACACTACATAGTTCATCTACAGAGTTTTTCAAAATTCATCTTGTCTCTATGACAATTTTCTTTTTGTAACCATATTTAATTCAATTTAATAAATCTACACACATATAAAAAGCATATGAAAATATTGAAGGTGCACGCACATATCTACATATATATGGATATACTGTATATTGGAATGATGACTGCAGTTGCTAAGGAAAAAGAAACAACTCACTATTGGTTAGATAAAAGTGATTCATATACACATTTTATGGTATTTAGTTTTCTGAAGTTTTATTTCTGAATTTTATTCTTAAAACGACTTTAAAAAAAAATAAAAACTGCTTTTATTTTAGCCAAAAAAGCAAATAAGACTTTCCACAGAAGAAAAAATATTATCAGACATACTGTGGAAATTTCCTTGCTCTGTCATTTGGGAAATATTTAAAAGAGAAAAAACATTTCAAAGGGGGCTAATATATAATAATTCTGACTTCAACTTTATGTTACCATGCCGAATATCTGATGGCCAGAAAGTGGTTAAATTTATTTATTTATTTTTTAGAAATATTGGTCTCTATGATGCACACATTCACTGTAATGTGTGATATCACTAAAAAGTGGTCATAAACAAATATTTTCTTTGTTCAAATGAGTAGCGGCTTGGACATGGAAACAGTATTCCATACATCATGAGTCATGACCTCACAAGCGGATAGCTATCAAATGAAGATTTCTGAATAGTGCTTACAATTCATGCAGACTTCTATTGTGATACTTATATAATGCTTTTGTGTCCTTTTTAACTTGAAATACACAGTCCCCATTTATTGTAATTGCATGGAAAAGAGTGTACATTATTAAATTTCACCCTTTGTGTTCAGTAAGAAAGAGTTAATAATAACATCTTTTTTCCCTTTCATGTAGTTCTGCATGTCAGTATCAGCCTGTTTAATGGCCTTAAAATATTGCTAACCATCATCTTTTGCAACACACATAATTATGATTATACATGAAGAAAGCAAAACTGAAGGGCCTTAAATGATTTTGAGGTTATACAATGCAGTGTATTACATGAGCCGTTGGTTAGTCTCTCTCTGGCTGTATAATGCATGAGGCAAACAACTGCAATCTGTTCAAGAACAGAAGACACTTTTTGTTAGTCACCCAGTATACAAATGGAGTGGAAAATGCAGATGCACTTTTTTCATGTAAATGTATTAAAAGATTAGTTAACCCCAAAATTAGAAATGTCAACATTTACTCATTTCATTCCAAACTTGTAATGATTTTTCTTCATCTTCAGAACACTAATTCAGTCTCTCAGGATATAAAAGGATATAAATGTCCTCAAAGTGATAAAATAAATCAAATTAAATTAAATAACGAATTAATAAATGTTAACTAAACAAATAAAATAAAATAAATAACATACAATTAAATAAAATGAATAGAAAAGAAAAGAAGAGAAAAGAAAAGAAAAAAAATAAATGAAAAGAAATAAAATGTAAAATAAAATATAAATAAAATAAAATAATATAAAGTAAAATAAAAAAATAAAATGATATAATATAGAAAATAAAATAAAAAATAAAATACAATACAAAAATAAAATAAAATAAAATAGAAAATAAAAATAATAATAACAAAATAAAATAGAAAAATAAAATAAAATAGAAAATTAATTAATAAAAGAAATAAATAAAATAAAAAAAGAAAAGAAAAGATAAAAAAGTAAAGAAAAATAAAAGAAAATAGAAAATAAAAATAAAAAGTAAAATATTAAATTAAATTAATAAAATAAGATAAAATAAAAACTGTCAAAAGAGAATAATTTAATCCAAGTCCTTTAAAGTGACATGGACACTTTTAATAAGCAAATTTAATTTAGGCTATTATTTACATAAAAAGTTTAATTAGAGAACATCAACAGAAGTAAAACCGTTTAACCTGCCATGCCCAAGAATAAGAAATGGTTTTTGTAAAAGCTCAAAAGTGCAGTGTATCACGTAAAAATGAAATTCATTTGTTCTTGTGCATCAAATAAACATGCTTGAGCCTCTGTGTCCAAAGCAAAATGCTGTAAACATTTACTAATGAGTGGATATGTCTGGGGGAAAATGCCTAAATTAGATCTGTTCATCTTTAAAGCAATTGTGTCTCTTTAGAAAGTCTTGAATAAAATCACCCAATTTACTGGATATATTGATCTCTTAATGGACATTTAGAAGTGTTAGAGATTTGAGTAAATAGACTTTAATGGAGGGACTGAAATAGTTTTGATCCAAATATCTTCATTCATGTTTTAAAAATAAATAAAAGTCTTAAAGTCTGCATGAACCAGAATTTGAAACAGTTTTTTTTTAATTTGTAATGTGATGCAGTTTCTAGTGAAATGTAAATTTCAAATATCAATAAAAGATTACGAAAGCAAAATATATATTTTTTTTCATAATGACATGTACAGGGGAATTGTTCACCACAAAACTAGCAATGTTCACTAACAAAATGATATGGTTAGTTTTGATTTCATGTGTACATTAAGAGTTTTGGAACAACATGAGATTAAGTAAAAGATGACAGAATTTGCATTATGAAATAATCTTAAACTTCAAGTATTTCACATATAAAAATGTAAATATAATACAGTGGGGGAATAAGTATTGAATGCGTCATGTTTTTTCCTAGGAAAAATATTTCTTAATGAGCTGTTGACAGGGAATGTAATCACAGAATGTTGGTAGTTGGGGCGAATGCCTTTGACAAAAATTGTCATTGAGAATATTTAATTTAACGTAATGTTTTGTTTATTTTTTGTTTTATTACTTAGCTACAAAAAAGGCAACTAAAATTAAATGATTCAATTAAATGTTGTAAATGAATCAGACTTTAAAAATGTAAATACTGCCACTTGACATACAACACAGTACATCTGACATCTATGAGCAGGCAGGTGCAGCTCGACTAGTGTATGCAGCACTGAACTCCATTGTGTTATAAATTCAATTGTTCATGTTTTTACTGTAAAAGTTCATTATAAAATATTAAAAATGATACTGCATTAAATATTATATATGATTTAAAGCAACGTTTTTTTTTTTAATATTGCAGAATAAATGAGGAAATTCCCCTTGGCAAATTGAATGTAATACGGTTTGTTATATATTCGGCCCACAGCCCTCAATCAAGTTTACTTTTTGGCCCTATATAGGGAAAAGTGTGGGCACCCCTGCTTTATTCAATTTTTTGTATTGGTGATGGCAGCTTAAAGATGCCTCTCATGTGGAGAATGAATTGTTCAGGTGTGAAGTTTTTCCAAAGACTTTAACAGAGTGTAAAAATCATGATGATTGTGAGGGTCTCGTCAATCAAATTTGATTTTTATTTTGTATTTTCTATTGGATTCAGGTGGTTAACTGGGCCATTCTACAGCTTGATTTTCTTTCACTGAAAGCTTTGAGAGTTTCCTTGGCTGTGTTTTAGATCATTGTCTCACTGAGATGTCCACCCTGATTTCATCTTCTACAGCAGCTAACATTAATTTTCACTGAAAAAGGGCAGAGGGTTGCTGAATAACTACTGAGAGATTTCATCTGCTGTCTGGGCTCTTTGACTGCCTTTCAACACCTCCCTTTCTTCATGTGTTCAAGACTATTTCCCTGTGTCTTTTCATTTTATTACACATAAATTGATTTTTTTTTTTAACTAATTAGTTATTTTATTTGCATATATGGATTTCTATGGTTGTTACCAACATCCTTATGAAGTTTCAAGTGAACAGCACCTTTAGAAATATGTTTTCTGGGGAAAAAACGATGACATGTTCAAGACTTATTTCTCTTACTGAACAAAGCACATCCAATCACTTACTGAATGGTTCTTTTGGTGTTTCCGACAGAGTGAAGTTGAAGGATGGTGTGGCGTTTCTGGGGGCGAGAGCCAGCAACCCTGTGCAGTGGACAGTTAGTCAAGACGTCAGGAGCGAGGGACATCGAGTGGTCACTCTGCACTGCCGAAGGAAGGAAGCCAGCTTTGGAAAACGGTCAGTAGCTGTCTGTTCTATTAACGCATTTATTAACAGGGGAGAATTCGGGATGCAGAGATGGCTGCTTTCAAAGACGATATCTTCAAAAGCCTGCCAGTTACTTCAGTGACCCACAAGTTCAAAGTTTAAAATTGAAGCTTCAGGCTAAAAACACTGCAAATGAAAAAGTTTTTTTTCTCTCACTTGCTCACAATTTAGCTCTCTTTGTAAAGTTTCAGCCAATAAACAGTCAAACGCATGCACATATACCGTGACCTGCATCGTACAGCCCTTTGGCCTTTAGCCCTCAAATATAAGCATCTCTGTCTAATGACTGCTCTTCTAAACCTTTCTGCTGCTTTCATGTACAGGCCCTCTGGTACTGGAAGCGTGTTTTATTTCTCAGATTATTGCATCATATTTTGAAGTGCTGAGAAGTTACATGACTAGTTTTCTTAGAAGTATTTAAGATTATTTCATATGCGAAACTTTTTCTGTAATAAGCTACTGTAGCTTTATAGCTACTTTAAAGGGATTGTTCGCAAGACTAATGCATTTGTTCACCCTTTACTTGTTTCTTTGTGCTGTCAATCACAAATGAAGATATTTTAAAGAATGTGGAAAATCTGTAGCCATTGACTTCCATAACATTTTTTCCCACCCTACTAAGGATGTCATTGGCTACAAATTTTCAACATTCTTCAAAATATCTTCATTTGTGATCTACAGAAAATGCAAACTCAATAAGCTTTACAACTAACTTAGGGTGAATAAATGATGAGTAATTATTTTTTATTTTTGGGTTATATAATTTTTTAAGGTATTATTAGGTCTGTCAAAATATCTATTTTATGTTGTATAAAAATTGCACCAAAATATTTTGTGATAAACAATATTATTGGCATTTAAGACATTTTTTTATTATATAATGCCAGAATAACAATATAATATCATCACAATGCAGGTACGGTCTTTCAGAGAACACATAATATTTCATTCTTAAGATTATTTAATTTAACTACAGTCATTTTAACAATTTAATAATTATATATTGGAATCAGAATGTGAAAACTTGTATATCCCAAACAAGTAGATAATCAATGTTAACAAAAAATGGCAAGGTAAATAGTAACAGAGGCTGCGATATCTGCTTTCAGATCTAATTTCAGTTGTCAGACATCTACATGAAAATATCCGATCGTGATTTATAGTAAATTCTGCAAAGTAGTTTTTATTTATTTATTTTTTTTAACTGTACTGATACTGACATCTCTAGAAGAGATAGTGAGGTGCAATAAGCTGAAATGTTGCAATAATTAGGTTTTTGCATGGGCGATATATATTACATCACTAAAAATGAATAAGGCCATGTCCCTGTGTTGTGGGATAAATCCATATATTGATTATTGTGACAGGCCTAGGTACTAATTGCCTTATAGTTACTTTTTGTTGCATTTCTGAATTACGTTAGGTGAAATGCTGCTTAAAGTAAGGTGTGTAAATAATAAGTATTTTTTTATGGGGATCTTTTTATTTTTAATGTGCATTTGCTTTGTATTTACTTTTTGTTTCATTTCTGAATTGTGTAGCATGAAATTCTCCTGTTATACATGTTACAGTAGCTGCTTTATTATTGATTTTTTAATTACTTGTAAATTTGGGCATGTTCAGACTTATAGATTGTTAGCTTTGTTACAAAACAGAACTTAACTGGTTAAAATGTTGCGTTTTTCTTTAGTTTTCTAAGTGAATAATTATATGTAATTAATTATATTTAAAATTAATATTTAATCTATAATGCGGTCGAAGCATGAATCTACACTTTTTGTCTGGAGGGTGTTTTTGCTATAATAAAAGCAATTACACAACTTTTTAAGATGAAGAGGCTCTCTTTGGTTTTCAGAAGCAATAACTAACATACTCACATAATCCTAAATTACTGCTTTTTATGTGGATATTTCTTGTTACAAATTATGATACCACTTGGTTTGCTGGTCTGTTGGGTTGTATTGCTTTCTCACCTCAACTGAACCATTCCAGAGTTCATTTTAAATCAGGCTGAGGCCTTCTCATTCTTGCCAATCAAACTCAGATTGTTTTTGTGTGAATCTGAGAGTGATTGCCTAAAAAAGCCAAACTAAGAGGGAAAATGTGAGTTCTGAAATGCACCAAATGAGCCAGCACTCATCTTAAACAAGCATTAGTTCACCCAAAAATCTAAATCCTCTGATCAGTTAATCACCCTCTTTTCGCTCCAAACCCATAAGGTTTTGAAACTACTCTTTTATGTGATGAAAACATTGCACTGACTTTTATTCATGACTTCATTCACACATAAACATTTTACACACTCACATCCAGCCCATCAGATACAGCAAATTGGAGCTCAATCTTGTTAGATTGATGCTATTGAAGCTATGAGTTTATTTCTCACATCATGCCATGTCAAGCAAGCACATTTCAGCCATCAAGTTTTGTTCTTTAGTTTCAAGAAAAGATGGTTCAGTGTGTATATGTTAAAAACGGAATTAAATCTGTTCATCAAACAAAAGCCATCACAACTTTTTCATGTGGGTTTCTTACCATGAATTTTATGGTGCTATGCTTCTTGGAAAAAATTTGCAATACTAAATGTGTTTCACAAAGGTGAGTGAGCATGACAAACCACCTGTAGGAAACACACTGGCTGTTCTATGCGTTCAGCGATCTTGCATCCTCCTGTTCTCGTGTAATGACATCATCAACTGCCAAAGTTCAGTTCCAAAATTACAGACAGCAAGAACGTAGGATGCATAAAAGTTTCCACATGTGTTCTTGATATCGAGGATGCATCAATCCAGACTTGAGCGCAAAACTTTAACTTTACTGCTTGTTTATATATTTATTACCTGTTTATTGTTCTGTCTCTGTAATTCTGTTGCGCTGTAGAAGCTCTGTCACGACAACAAATTCCTCGTATGTTGACACAAAAGCTCTTTCTGATTCTAATTCTGAAAACTCACTCGTGAAGTTCTAGAAGTCGTTGCAGCTGAATTAAGGAGGTGGGAATAGCAGCATTTTATATAGATTTATTATTAAAGTTCAGAGATATAACGTATTTACCTCAGGAGATTCCCTAAATGATACGGTGAAAGTAAACATTACCATGAAAATCTTAATAAAGGCATAAACACATTAAGGGTGTTAATTTGCTAAAATTCACATTAAAGTTTGTTTTATTTGTATTGTGCAAAGTATATTGAAAAATTTGAATGCTGTAATGTTTAAATAGTTTTCCATTAAAGAATTGTGACTATCCAGAAGAGTGTAGCATCTCCTTTCTCACAGGACACGTTCTCTTTTCTCGTAGTCTTCAGAGTTCGTCCTTCCGAGCTAACTTGGAATGCAAGACTGGTCACCACAAGAATGCAAGTCAGTTCTCTGCGTTCTTGAAATTGAGAAACAGCAACTCTCTCCTCTCCATATGAACCAGACTATTTTTTATGGGTATTTTTGGGAAAAAAACATCATACAGTTCTTAGTGTGCACGCTTCCCTCAGTTAGGTGGGATTGACAAACCACCTGTAGAAGACACACAATCTCCTATCTGTATGTTGCCCAAATTAAATAAATAATAAAATATTTAAATTGGAAAACCTAAAATACTGGTGATAGCATCAGGGATGGACTTAACCAATAAGCGAAGCACTGTAAGCAGCTGGTTAGGGCCCCAGAGAATTAGAGGGCTCTGACCAATTTATTAATCATACTGCTCTTTTATAAATTTTCTGTCATTTCAAAAGTTCACACTTAGATATGCTAGACACTAATAGCTGGTTTGGCGTGCTGGCCTGGGAGAGAACCCTGAGCTCCCGCTTCCGCTCCCACTGGTCAATGAGCTTATAAGGGGGTCCGAGATCAGGTAAGCCTAGAGAGCTCCCCCTGGTAAAGGGAGGAAAAGGATGAGATGGGGTGGAAGAGGGTATTCTTTCAAAACAAAGATAAGGCAGTAGGACAAATTCTGTTTATTTGTTGTAAGCTTGAATCAATCTGATTGGATTATAGCTGAGATTAAGATTTAAGATTTTTTTAAAAGATTTATTTTTGGCCTTTTTGCCTTTATTAGATAGGACAGTATCAAGACAGGAAGCGAAGTGGCAGAGAGAGAGAGAGAGAGGGGGTAGGGAAATGTTTTTGAGCCGGGATTTGAACTCGCAACACCCTGACGTGCTATTGCACCATATGTCGGCACGCTAACCACTAGACTATTGCGCTGACAAGATTTAAGATTTTAATGTTGGTACTACTTCTCAAAACCAGGTGTCCCCAATATATAATGGGAAATATCCTCTGTACCTCACATGCAAATATTAAAATTTTATTTACTTTGCAATGTTAGTTTGTAAACTTGTTTTTTTTTGTGTGTGTGTGTATTAATCTGTTGTATTTAGTTTTACATTAAGAAAATAAAGGTTCCACCTTAAATATATTTGATATTTTTTATTTTGTTGCAGTTTATTTAGAAAAAAATAAAACCAAATCTACAGAGTGAAAAATATGTATTGAGAAAGAGAGTGTTTTGAGTTTTAATGCTAGGGCCCATACCTGGAATTGCCTAGGGGTCCCCAAATAACTAAGCCCGCCCCTGGATAGCAATAATGTACTGTTGTTATCTGATGATTCTTTTTTGATCTTCTTTCTTCCTCACTTGTATGATGCTTTGCATAAATGCATCTGCTAAATGACTAAATGTTAATGCATGTTTATTTTCCTCCTGCACTGATTTCAAACAGATTGTTTTCTGTGCAATATTATTTCAGTTTCCATTCAAGTTCATATTCCTTGTTAAAATTTTTACCTGTTTTTCATTTCAAAAATTGTGTTAGATTGCATTTCCAGGCTGAAAATAACAGAATAATTCTCGCTCTGCATTTCTCCACTCAGAGAGATTAGAAAGTCTTAGACTGGCAGCTGTACTCTCTCAGCCCTTATAGGTTTCTCACCTGTTCCTGTACCTCTCTTTGGTGGCATTTGCATAT